CAATGGATGGCTTTAAAAGGGAGGTTGTTTAAGGAAGAAAAATAATGCTAATGTGGCCAAGTTAGTGGGATTCTTAGGACATTTGTTCAGGAACACCAAGTCCCAGTGTAGGGACAAAAAGAGAAAATTCTGCATATTGGGCGCTCACAGCCTACTCCTGCATCACTTCAACTCCACTGGGAGGTAGGAGGGCCAAGCCCATTGCCCAGTAGTTGGAGTCATAGCTCCTACCTATCAACAATGGCATGAGAGTCACTGAGGCATTTCTTAAAGAACATCCCTGGCTGCCCTCCTCATCTTCTCCCCAAAATACACACTTTAGTGTAGGTAAAGGAGAGACTAATGTAACAACACAATATCCCTCACTGATTCCTTACCCCAAGACACACTGACCAGTAGCAAACCCAACTTCTAAAGTGTGTTCTGTGTCCCAGGAAGCCAGCAGAGTTCCTGGATCAAAATACACATGTCCAGGGGCTAAAGAAATAATATAGACAGGTGGAGTGATAACACAACGGGTAGAGCATTTCCCTTGCACTCAGCTAACTCAGGTTCGATTCCCAGCACTGCCAGGAGTAATTCCTGAGTGCAGAGCAAGGAGTAACACTTGAGCATCACCAGGTGTGACCCAAAAAGGAAAAAGAAAGAAACAATGCAGTGAGAAAGGTGTTTGCCTTGTATGCAGCAGACCCCAATTGATCCCCTGTATGTCATAATCCCCCCAGTATTACCAGGGGCTACTCTTATGCACAGAACCAGGAGGATAAATAAACATGTTGAAAGCTTAGTTTTTTGTTCGACATTTTTGTTTATGTACTAATTTTTTAATTGAATCACAGTGATATACACATTAACAAAGTTGTTCATGATTTAATTTCAGTGATAAAATGTTTCAACACCCATCCCATCACAAGTGTACTTTTCCTACCACCAATGGTCCTGGTCCCTGTTTCCATACGGACCCCCTACACCGTTCCACCGCCTGCCACTTTGGCAAGCACTTCTCTCTCTCTCTCTCTCTCTCTCTCTCTCTCTCTCTCTCTCTCTCTCTCTCTCTCTCTCTCCTTTTGGCAAGCTTCCAACCATTGACCAGTCCTCCTGACCCCTGTTTACCCTCACCCTGGATATTAGTCTCATATATACATATAAATATACATATATATATAACACAAATGAATGCAGTCTTTCTATGTCTGTTCCTTTCCTTCTGACTCATTTCACTTAACATGATACTTTCCATGTGAATCCATTTATAAGCAAATTTCATGACGTCATTCTTTCTAATAGCTGCATCTGTTCTTGGGCACTCGGGTTGTTCCTAGATCCTGGCTATTGTGAATAGTGCAGCCATGAACATCGAAGTGCAGATGACATTTCTGCTGTGTAAGTTTTGGGGCTCCCAGTGTATATATCCAGAATGGTACTGCTGGGTCAGATGGAAGTTCAATTTCTATTTTTTTGAGCTAAGTAAGTAAAGTAAAGGCCCTCCCGTTGATCATCGATTTGCTCGAGCGGGCCCAGTAACGTCTGCATTGGAGACTTGGTTGTTACTGTGTCTGGCATATCGAATACTCTCTGTAGCTTGCCGGGCTCTCTGAGAGGGGCGGAGGAATTGAACTCAGGTCGGCCATGTTGGCTGCATGCAAGGCAAATGCCCTACCCGCTGTGCTATCGCTCATTTATATTTTTTTCCAAAAAGGCCAGACAAGTTGACATTCCCACCAGAAATGAAGGAGAGTCCATTTCGCCCTGCATCCTTGCCAGCACTGGTTGCTCTTGTTCTTTTGGATGTGTGGCAGTCTCTGTGGTATAAGACGATATCTCATTGTTTGCATCTCCCTGATGATTAGCGATGTAGAGCATTATTTTTCGCCTGCCTCTTGGCCATTTGAATTTCTTTTTTTGAGGAAGTTTCTGTTCATTTTTTCTCCCCATTTTTTGATGGGGTTGGATTTTTTTTTCTTGTAAGATTCTATCGGTGTCCTATATAACTGATTTTAACCTGTTATCAGAAGGGTACTGGGTAAATCATTTTCCCCATCCCGTGGGCTGTGTTTGTATCTTAGACAATTTCTTTTGAGGTGCAGAAGCTTCTTAGTTTCATGTAGCTCTATTTGTTTATCTTTGCTTCCACTTGCTTGGCCAGTGGTGCTTCACCTTTGAAGATGCCTTGAGGAATGCTTAGTTTCAAATTTCACTTCAACTGTTCAAGTAGTCCCATTTTTATACTATAAAATATACAGCACCAACATTTCCAGAAACTATGAAATTGAGATGTAAACAATATTGCATACTTAATAGAAAGATAACCTATCAGTTTTCAAAGACTTTGGTGACCACAGTCATCCCTCCAAAATACAAAATTTACTAAGTCAGGGCAGAAATAATGGTACAGTGGTCAGGGCATTTGCCTTGCATGAGGCCAACGCAAGTTCAATTCCCAGCATGCCATATGGTCCCCCAGTCCTGCCAGGAGTGACCCCTTAATGCAGAGCCAGGAGTAAGCCCTGAGCATCACTGAATGTGACCCAAAAACAAAACAAACATAATCAAGCAAGTCATGGCAAATATGAAAAAGGGAATTCCTAACAGTCTTCATGATGTTTATTGATCAAGTCTTTTTCTTGGGGGGCAGTGGGGAGACTCTCAAGTGGTGATCAGAAAGCTGGGAAGCTCTTGGGACTCAGATACTAAACCAGTGGTTTAGTGCGAGGGCCTGAAGATGTGGTGCTGGTTGGGCTCTGGCGTTGGAGATAGCTGGGTCAGCACAGTGCTCCCAGGACTACACCCAGAGCCAGTGATGTTCGAGGGGCCTCAGGACCATATCTGGGGGCACTATGTAGAGCCAGGGATCAGCTACAAGCAAGGCAAGTTCCTTAACATTGTACCATCTCTCTAGTCCCTAATAATCAATTCCTTAGTCAATGTACATACAATAACTTGTTCTCTAATGCAATTTTCACCAACTTTATCAAACAATATTAGAAGTTGGAGGCAAAGATGATTTGAACTCCTCCCATCTTCTCCCAAAGAAACTGTCTACTCTATTCCTTCTAAATTTCTTTAGAATAGTACTATTTCTTGCTATTTGGCCATGGAAAACTTGATTTAGACAGATTCTAGTACTTCACACAGAATTTGGCTTAGATGTTTTAGGTGAAATAGAAGGACTGAGCACGTAATGGAACATTCAGTTGTAGTCCAAACATATATTGCCATATATATGTGTGTGTGTGTGTATATATATATATATATATATATATATATATCATATGACATGATGAAAAAAAGCTGTATCCATTGTTAACTAATCCAAAATGTTTTTTCATGGTGCAATGCAAAGCTCAGTTACAACATGTGTTTTGAAAGCTTTCTTAACAAAGGAAGACATGAGCACAACTTTCATTATCCCTTTCAAATGAATGTTCTTCTATTTTTCAAAATGTTTATATTTTGTATTGTAGTTATATTGTAGTTTTGTATTTTGTAGTTTTGTATTATAGTTTTGTATTGTAGTTGTGCCATAAAAATGCTTGCGGCAAAAACACTTGTTGCAAAGAATTTACTGTGAACTAGAGGCCTACCCCAAATGTTTGCTGAGTGGATGACTAGATGCATGACATCATATAGTGTGTTATAATGTAGTAACATTGATGGTTAAGTATTGACAAGACAGAAGAATTAACAGTGTGCCTTTTTCAGCTTTTCTTATCCACTACTCTCATACACTCAGTGCAGGCTTGCAACCCACCTCCTCCATGCAGGCTGGCACCAAACCTGGACCTTCCTCACATTTCCAGGCCAGAAGGTCGCTTGATCGCCCAGAGCCCATGTGTTCAGCATTGAACCCTTGCCTTCTTGCTTCCCCCAGACTTACCTTTCCCTGAACGAGGTAATAGCTGGATGCCAATATGGTATCCAACAAACAAACCACAAAATGTCCTTAACTCTGCTTCTCTTTGTCCCACCAGCCTCTAGGTTCCTGGGCTCCATTCTAAAACTTAAGAAATCTGTGATCCTTCACCTAAGTCCTCTGTCGTGTTCCTTCTGGACATTTCACCTCCTAGTCCAGTGATCTGCACAATTCCTTCTCACAGACTGTGAGCAGGATCACAACCATCACCACCACTCCCCCAACTCAGCCTAGTCATAATGATAAGTGGTTTCTCATCACCAGTCATGAGAGCCCTTGAGTGCAATGCTAAAAGACAGTCATCATTCAGTTCTTCTCTAACTCCCAAAACAGTTGTCAGGAGAGCCTTCTATCCTCCAGACCTGCTCTTCTCTCCATCCTGTAATTCTCCCACACTTGACTCGGGTTCTATGGCTTACAAACACTCTACAGAAACACTGGGTTCTAACAGGTATTATTAAAGGTAAGTCCATGTGTAGTCAATGGGTGATGTTTCTGCAGAGAATACATGAGTAACATATATACTTTACAAAATATTTAATGACTAGCTCCTGTGCTTAAAACATTTGTACCAATTAACATTCAAGACTGCACTCCTTCATTTTCAGGTTAGCCTATCAGATGATTAAAACTCAGCAGCTTCTTAGAAGCTGATTTGCCATTTTTCAGTCCATTGCTTTGTTTTTAGTTACTCATTCTCATTTCTGGTTTCCTTTTTCTTTTTGATTTTTTTCTTTTTTTCCTGTTCTTTGGATCACACCTGGTGACCTGCACTCATGAATTACTCCTGGCAGTGCTCAGGGGACCATATGGGATGCTGGGGATCGAACTTGGGTCAGCCATAGGGAAAGCAAACACCCTACCCAGAGTCTTATGGCCCTAATCACTCTGATTTCCTTTTTCTGCCAAATCTTTAGTACCCATTTCTAAAAGATGATAGAACTAACTTACTATCATTGCAAATCCTTTTATTTCCTTTTCCATCTGCTTCAGAAAATACAATAAATTACATTAAATTCCAAAGACAGAGATAGGGTGAAGGAAAAAGCATAAATAACTTTATAAGATCAATAATTAGTAATTTCCCGAGCTGCCTTTCAGCCCCAGATTGCCTGCACACGGCCCTGGGGGAAGCTACAGCGCCAGAGCACCAGTTCCCTCATAACCCCCTGCGAGAGCGACACTCTAGACGGAAAAAATAAAAATAGTAACTTCTAGAGACGATTGTATAATTAAAAATAAAGAGGGATGAAAAGAAAAGAAGATGTCATAGGAGAGTGGCAAAGACCATGAAGAGAGGGCAGATGTAACTAAATAGAACAGAAAAGTTTGCTTAACATTTAACAAAAAGAACTTTCTCATCAAGTTTACTATAAACTTAAAATTTAAATCAGGAAGTTGTAGAAATGGTACCCACCAACCTTTTTGTTTTCAGCTAAGTTAATCATTTGGTAAGGGCACAGCAAAACTTTTGCTGACTAAACCTTCCAGACTCCAGAAATGTGAAATTCCTCTGTTCCATTGAAGTCTATTTTCACTAATTTACATCTCAGTTTCTGGGGTGTTGTGTGTGCGTGTGTGGTTTTGTTTTGTTGTGTTTTTTAAGTACTCAGTGACCATACCTAGTGATGCTCAGGTGGCCACATAGCATGAGAAATCAAATACAGGGTTTCATATATGCAAGGCATGTAACTGCCCTACTGCTAGACCACATTCCCCGCCCTCATCTTTAAACTAAGAGTAACACTCTCCTTGCTGCATAGAACTTTTATGAAGCTTAACTGATTTAACACACATGAAGCTCTGAGACAGAACTTAGTTCAGAGTACGCACTCTGGGGGCAGAGCTGTAGTACAGGGAATAGGGGTGCTTGCTTTGCATGTGGCTGACCTGGGTTTGGTCCCAGCAACCCCACATTGTTCCCCAAGCACTGCTGAGAGTGATCCCGAGTACACAGCTAAGAGTAAGCCCTGACCACAGCTGGGTGTGGCCCCTGCCAAAATAATACCAAAATAGGGTATTTGCACTTTGTGTTAGCCATGGGCATTACTGGTAAAATAATGATATTCTCATATGGCTACTGATGTCAAGAGACCTTGGTGGCTGAGACAACTGAAAGTCAGATAAAGATAAGTATCCCAATAGAAAGAAAAGGATTCAAAGCTCAAAGGTGCCTGCTCCAGGCTAACAGAGATGGAACTTTCGAGTTACTCTCTGTTGATGGAAAAAACACACAAATTCCTAATGTTAGTTGCCCTAAAGGGAAAGGAATAAATAATTTTAATTCTTTGCACTCTATCTTCATAACAAAGGCCTTTCAATGGCTGAGACTTTTGAACATTTTAGCCATCTGGGTGCTCATTCAGGAAGGTGGAATCATATCACCTACTCAGGAACACATGTATTTGCCCCTTTTCTGGAACAATGCCTTACAGAATTTTTCACTCCTTATGTTTTTCCAGAAAGTGTCAGCCTCCACCATTCATCTTCTCAGTATTTGTGTGCCAGAATGTTCCTTTCCAGGCTATCTGTCCTTCTCAGACCTTGTAAAATCTTATCACGCCGAAGGTTGTATGTTCACGGGCTCACTGGACGGCACTGTTTCACCGCCTGCGTTCGGTGCTCTTGAGCCACTGTGTGTGGTCTGGATCGGAACGGCTGTTGGCCAAGGGCAGACGGAAGAGAAAACGGGGGCCAGGCCGATCTATATCAATAGTAGTTTATTCCAATCCTCTTCACTCCTGTCTTTCTCTGCCTCCTTCTCTCCTGGGCCCCAGTCTTGGAAGCTCTCTCCTTCTGGCTCTGACTCTGGATCTCTGGAGCCCGAGCTCTCTCACTTCTGACCCCTTTTCCGAGCTTACGTCTTAGTTTATATAGCAGTCACATAAGGCGGTGACATAAAGGTGGGTTGAATACTGACGAATCAACAAAGAGAGGTAAGACCACTCCTCCAGGAGATTAACTCAAGGATAAAATCTCATCTACAGAGATTACTTCAGATTACTAGGAGATCCACCCAAGGGTGGGATCCCAACAAGGGTGTGTTCTCCCTTCAGTTAGTAATCTACTTAAATAGTTGTAATAAATCTACTTCTAATATTTCTAGCAATGTCTTTCTGTATGAGCACAGTAAGAGATATAAATTTAGTTTGGTTCTTCCTGAGAACATCTCACTATACATTTCGCAGTCCTCAGGCCAGGTTAATCTTCCTAGCTCCAGCAGGGTCCTAGTCTCGTCGTTACTTACTTTTGGATCATGACAGCATTTGTCCATGATCATGCCCTCAACTTATAGTCGAGTATCGTGGCTCTTTGGCCTGGCACATTTCGATGCCAGGGTAGCTCATTGCTTGCCCTGGGTCCATTCAGTCCCTCGTCGGGACCCTGCTTTTGGGGTGCTAGGAGCTAAGGGCAACTGAGTCAAGAAATCAGATGCCCAGAAGTAAATATTATTCGGAGTCAATCAACTCCCAAGTTACAAAGCATAATATTAACTGTCTTCCTGTGTCCACACAGAAAGGACATTGCTTACAATACAAGTTCAGTGTTCTTAGATGGGTGTGACCTGACAAACCTAAGCTACCTGAGGTAGGACAAAAGAGTGTTATCCTACAATACCTCCTACTGGACTTGACATAGTAGTGGCTGCTTCTCAGTGGCAGTTTTATCAACTATGCCTAAGCACAGGTTGCTTCAGTGGAATTTGAAGGGGGTGAGCAACCTGCCCTGAAACAGTAGGTAATCAGGAAGCACCTATATCCGATTAACAAAGGCTCTTGGGCTGGACCAACAGTACAGCAGGTAGGGTATTTGCCTTGCACACAGGATTTCCGGAACCCCATTTGGTCCTGAGTCACCGCAGGAGTAATACCTGTGCACAGCCCAGTGTTCACCCACTCACCCTAAAAAGAATCTTCAGATGAGAAAGTACAATCTACCCTTCAAAGGAAATGAAACAATGCTGTCCTCAACAAAAACCCTAGTATACAACCTCTGTTCAAATAACCAAGAATAACTCCTGGAGCTACAGAGTGAGCCTGCTGAATAGCTGTGTTCAAGAGATTAATCAGGAGATAATTGTTAGAAATTGAGCTCATGACAATTAGGCCATGCTCAGGCAAAGGAAATGCCTTGTCTTCTGAATTCACCAGTTCCACTGCTAATTTACAGGGATGTTTATTGTTTCCCCTTGGAATTTATTGTAAGACTGGGAAAGCAGAAAGCCATGCCTTCTTAGTCCATATGAGTCAATTTTAAAGGATTTCTCAGTATGGGGTTTGTCATTCAGCAACTCTCTCTCTCTCTCTCTCTCTCTCTCTCTCTCTCTCTCTCTCTCTCTCTGTGTGTGTGTGTGTGTGTGTGTGTGTTCGCGCAGATTTTCATTTAGACTGAAGCCAGGGAGACAGTACATGTCTTGCATGCACCGGACCCCAGTGATCCCCAGCAGGACATGAACCCCAAGAAGGATCACCAAATGTAGCTCTAGAGGCCCTCTGAGCAGTGCCCGCAGTGGCCCTGGAGGCCTCTGGCATTACAGGGCGCTCAAAGCACCACATCCTTGGGCCGTCGCCTGGAGCTGCAGCTCTAATTGGCAAGAATCACCAAAAGTGCGTTTCCAGACCCTGACCACCATTTCGGGGTTATTTACCCCCCCCGAACCCCACTTTTTCATGTAGTCTAACCTAATACTCAAACAATCATGATGAAACATTTAATTCACAAAACAATCTTAGGAACTAGATACTATAGAAGGGAATACTGAGGTTTTGCATAACCAAAATGTAACTCAGGTTGATAAGCAGGCAAGACAGAGTTCACAAACAGTTCAATGGGCCAAGTGAGAATGGAATGAAGACTTAATTCTTTGCACTCTGTTTATGTAGTTGTGGGCTCTCTGCACTTTGCTGAAACCAAGGTCCACGTTTGCTGAAGATCTGTTTAGGTGACAAAGTCCCCTCGAAAGGATATGTTTTAGGACTCTGAACTGAAACATATGCTATTCTGTTAAATTAAAACTGCATTACTGGGGCTGAAGCAAGAGCACAGCGGGTAGGGTGTTTGCCTTGCATGTGGCCGACCTGGGTTTGATTCCCAGCACCCCATATGGTCCTCTGAACACCTCCATGGGTAATTCCTGAGTGCAAAGCCAGAAGTAACCCCTATGCATTGACGAATGTGACCCCAAAAGCAAAATAAAACAAAGGGAAAAAAACAAAAAAAAACCCTACATTACTGATAAAGGAATGGCTTCTGTGTATTCATATAAACCTTAGGCAATTAATATAATAGAATGAGATTCTAACTATTTGATCTGTTAAGTTTGTCCCTTGCATGAGCTAAAGCCTCACTAGATGGCAGCATTGTATACACAGCTTTTTTTTTCTTGCTTGCTTCTTTTTTTTTTTTTTTTTGGCCCATCTTTATCTCGAGATTTGTCCCCTCAAGCCTCCCCAGGAGCTGTAACATGGGGGACATTTATTTCCTCGCCTCTGTGCAAAGAAGAACTCTGCCTGGAAATCTTAGCTACTCAGTCTCAACCAAGAGAAATGTTGGTTGAAGATACAGTGAAAGGACCCCTCACCACAAAGCTGCACAATTGACCTCTAAGGAGTCAGTTCCTACCCTCAGCAGGTGCATGATCAAGTGTAAAGACCACTGTGTGAATCTCAGCTCTGGTTTCCTAGCGTGACACCTTGGGCAGGTCGCTTGACATTTCTGGGCCTTGTTTTAGCATTTGTAATTTATTAAAGGCACTTTATAATCTTAGTTCCATATTAGCTCCCTGGTCTGTTAACTTTAACCAAAAGACAGCATGTCACGATCAGGCTGATGGGTTCAATCTTCCTCCTGATACTCCAAACAGTCTCATACACAGTAACGCAGGGAAATCAATCTTGCTAAAATGATAAAAACTGGGGCTGGAGCAATAGCACAGCAGGTAAGGGCATTTGCCTTGCATACGGCCGACCCGGGTTCGATTCCCAACATCCCATATAGTTCCTTGACCACCACCAGGGCTGGTTCCTGAGTGCAGAGCCAGGAACAAACCCTGAGCATTGCTGTGTGTGACACAAAAGGCTAACAAAATTAAATAAATAAAATGATAAAAACTGTCAGACTGACTCAGATGAGTCATGGAATTAGAAAACTCCTGGTCACAGACTTGAATATAGATGCATCTGCTGT